TCATTATTATTATTATTATTACTAGACACAGACCCGTTCTACGTACGGTGATATAATAGTTTTAGGAAAGCCCAATATAAAAAAGTTTGTACCGGTACCTGATTCATTGCCGTAGGAGCTCTGTGTAGACAACATTGCTGGTACATGCGCCATCTGGAACTCCGTCCTGGGCAGCAGGTCTGTTTGCATGTATCCTAATAGATTCCCTGGACCCAACACGACTCATTGCGACATATAATTGTCCTTGGGGAAAAAAACACCCTGTAAAGAAACCCCTATCCTTTTCAAAGTCTCTCCCTGAGCTTTGTTGGCAGTCATTGCAAAAGCAGGTCTAACCGGAAATTGTTTCCGTCGCATACGGAAGGGAAATATGTTGTCTGAAGGCATGAGGGGAATCCTTGGGGTGAAAAGTCTCTTTCCGGCATGTGGACGGCAAGCAACGACAGCATGAATTACATGTTGATGAAGGTTTTGAACCACACATCGAGTCCTGTTGCAGTGGCCGTTTGTGGGATCCAAATTTCTCAGCAACACGACAATGTCAGTTTGTGGGGTGGTATACCCGACGGACATAGAGATTTGGTAAATTCGATGAGGTATTGGTGTTCATTTTCTTCCACCGAATCACTGCTCCTGTAGACTTTTTCTTCTCCGGGAAAGGACTGCAGGATCAGGTTGTTGACTCTGTCTACTTCTGTGTTGGTGGGACAGATGATGCAGCGGGAAGCAAGCCAGTCACTGCCATATAAGAGTTTTACGGCACTTGTAACACAATAAGGTCATATAAGTGCCGTCCAGCCAGTCAGGATTTGTGTGAGACTGCAAGCTACCGAAGACAAAATTGATCAACTCTCGTTCGCTGTTCACTGTGATGTCATCTGGCAGTTTTCTCGCAAACTCCCCGATTTGCCGGTGTACATTGTGTTTGCCACCACCAATGTTCAGAAGATAGTGGGAGAAATCAGCGGTCTCACCTGTAAGCCCTTGCTAGAGCTCTGTCAGGCATTGCAGCAACTCTGTTCCCAAATGGCAGAACGTTACAAGATACTTCTTGCATTGCTGCATCCTTCTCAGTGTCACCATCGAGCAGTCCACGTTGGTTGCATGCGTCTTGATAAGATGTGCAACTGGATCCATTTACTCGATGAAGCACAATATGAAACAGAAGTAGTCCCCAGTAAAAAAAAACAACCCAACTAATATTCCGTGGGCCAATAGAAGCAGCTGAAATGGATCTATGTGACATACACACGCCACAAAACACAAACGGCACTTCTGTTCTTGCTAACTACTGAAAAGTACAAATCTGTCGCGCACACACGACAAAACACAAACCGCACGTGTGTCCGTGTTAACAACTCCAAAAAAGTAGGACTCTGTGGCTCACACACGACAAAGCACAAATCGCACTTCTGTTCTTGCGAACTACTCACACGCACGCACGAAGAACCGCAATATGAAACGGCGGAAGTAGTCCCCAGGAAAATATGAAATGGCTAATGGCAGAGTGAAAACATCTGAGAGCTTCAATTGACAGAAAAACCGTCAAACCTGAAAAATCAAAGGTAGTTTCCGAACTTTATGCCCACGTAACCTTTTGGGACAATTCTTGTGTGAATCATATTTTTGTCGATTTTATGGGCACCAGTGTTAAAAGATTTTACTGACCCCA